GAAGGAGGTGTTTCTGGTACCAGGAAGGGCTGTTGTCACCAGAGAGAAGCTGGACCCTCAGTGGGCCTGCCGGGGGCGGGGTGGAGACACAGGAAATGTGGCTGCTGCTGGAGATACTACCCAAGGCAGAGGGAGGGAGAAATACCCTGCTTCTCCCTCCCGCCCGCAGGCTCGTGTCAGTGCCTCCGCTGGCAGACCTCTGCAGGAAGCTAGCTGACTGGCAGCCTGCACGGGCTGGCCTCCCTATGACATAGAGCAAAGCAGAGGGCAAGGAATGGCAAACAGGCCCAGGACCAACACCAGGGGTAGGGATTATGTTCACTCTGTCTGGGCGTGATTCCCCATCTAGAAAAAGGGGATAATGGTACACGAGTATCTACTCGGAGTAGTTGAGTGCCTGGCACATGTGCGGGGGTACCTTGTAAGTGTGAGTAAATGATCGAGTTAGCTGGTTTCTGCTCAGAGGATGAAAGGCGGGAGGAGGCCCGGGAAGAAACTGAAGGTACAGGAGCAGTGCTGCTGCCGCTGGTATTTTTATCTCGGAGACGTGCCCATCTGTCCTCCCTGTGTTCTAAGCTGATGACTCCGTCAGTTTCCTTTTCGAACTCCTGAGTCAGGGCTCACCACACGAAGTTCAGGGAAGAAGGTCTCCAGGCTCCTTCAAAAGGGTTTCAAATCCACTGGATTTTTATTTAGTGTCTCTGCCTCCGACGGCTGCCAAAGTTTCCTCGCCTCCTCCATCCCAGGGCTGAGCCGTCTCCAGACTCTCTCTTTGTATAATTAAAAAGAAAAATAGAACAGCTGATGTTGCCAAACATGTATTTAAAGTGACACCTTGGGTCCAAGGGAGTGGAAAATAAAAACGTTTAAGGTTTAGATTAAAAGTCTCCGTGCTCAGCTGTCTCCTGACCCTGGGCCGCCTTTAATCCCTTGCCCTGGTTTGTAAAAGCCTTTAAACTCAAGGCATTTATTTCCCCAAGAATGGTTCCAGTCTAATCCTGCAAAAAATGCCCAGCCTCTGGGGAGCAGCCTGTCAAGGGCGATGGGGTCCTGTGAGTCCCCCGGGGAGGTGGAGAAATTGGGGTGCTGACCACCCCAGGAGCTGCCCCCCTGCCCCGAGCCCTGGCTTTTTCACCCTGCCCTTCCCCCACCACACCAGCTCCATCAGAAAACACAGGCGATGGAGCCCTTTCAACTCTCCTAAAGCCCCTGCTCTCCCGTCCAGCGTCCTCCTCCATCTTCTGCGGGCCGCCATCGTCACGCGCCCGGAAGAGGCCGCAGCAGCCGCGTGCTCCCCAGGTGTCTCCTCCCCGCGTGGTCCTCCTCGAGCCATTCGGTTGGCAGCAGCCGGAGGGAGCTTTCGAACAAATCTGACCCGGGCCCTTCCCTGGCTGTGGTTCGTGGTGCTGCTGTGACTACCACAAATTTAGTGGCTTACAACAGTACAAATTTATCTTACAGTCCTGGAGGCCAGAAGCCCAAAATGAACCATCAGGGGCTCAGACTGCGGCGATGGCAAGGCTGGCCCCTCCCGGAAGCGCCGAGGGGAGACCCATTTCCTTGCGTTTTTCCAGCTTCTGGTGGCCGGCCGCCTTGTGGCCCTTCCTTCATCTTCAAAGGGCATCAGCCCAGGGACTGCTTCCATGGTGACGTCTCCTCTCTCGGCCCCTCCCCGTCTACTTCTGGTGAAGCAAGAGCTTTGTGATTACATCAGATCCGCCTGGATAATCCAGGACAATCTCTCCAAATCAAGATCCTTGATATGACTAGTTCTGGCTGGGTAGTTCAGTTGGTTAGAGTCCTGATATGCCAATGTTGTGGGTTCGATCCCCAGTCAGGATACATACCAGAAACCACCAATGAATGCAAAAATAAGTGAAACAACAAATCAGTGTGTTTTCTGTCTCTCTGTCCCTCCCCTTCCTCTCTTTCTCCTTCTAAAATCAATCAAGAAAAATAAATAAGTTAAAATAAAAAAAGATCCTTGACATGGCTTGATCACATCCGCGAAGCCTCTTCTGCCGTATGAGATAACATATTCGCAGGTCCTTTAGGGCGCAGACGTCTTTAGGGGGAGGGGGAGTCATTTATTATTCGGGTGCCCCCGCTGTTTAAAACCTTCCAATGGCTTTGCGTCTGAGTTGGAACCAAACCCAAGCCCCTTACGTGTGGTGGAAAGGCTCACCGGACCTGCCCTCGCCCCTTTCTAGCCCTCCCCACCACTGCACCCCCCCAGCTTATTTGCATAGGGGCTGCTTCTTACCGTCCTTTCCGCAGGCCAAGTCCTCAAGGCCCCTGCCCATGCTGTTCCCACTGTCTACATGCTCTTCCCGCAGATCTTCACATGGGTGCCTGCTTCTTCCCTTTTAGACCTTAGCTCAATGTCACCTCGGCAAGACCTCTCTCTCACCAGCCCATCTGACCCGCCTCTCCCTGCAGTCTCTCACGTCACCAGCCTTTCCTTAATGCCCACATAAGCCCTGCACCTTACCTGTTTTTTCTTTTGTCTTAGCGTCTTCCCCACTGGAATGTGAGCGAGTGAGAGCAAATGCCTTCCTTGCTTTGTTCACTGCTCCGTGTCCAGTGACTGGTGCACAGTAGGCGCTCGTTAAATGCTTGTTGGATGGATGAGCGGACAGATGATGGTCTGATGGTCCCGTCTGGTCTCTGGGCTTCAGTTTCCAGGATTCAGGCTCAGGGCGGAGGCAGGTCAAAAAGGCAGGAGGGTGCAATGCTTAACAAGTGCTTCCTGTGGGCCAGGCCCTGTGCTAGCCCTTCCTTCGTGAAGTGCCACATTTATTGAGCACCAACTGTGTGCCAGGCCTGGTGTGACTGACTTCTTCAATTCAAGGAACATTTATTGAGTGCTTACTGAATGCTAGGAAATATATGTTTGCTAAGTTTCTACTGCATGCCAGCTGTCCCAAATCAGTACACAGTGCTGATTACACAGTATGCAGTCATGAAATACACGCCTGAATCAACGAATACCCCCAAGAATCCCGCAGTCTTTCTTCTAAAATAGCCTATAAATAAATAACATAAAATGTTAAGATTACAGTGTGGGTGTGTTTGGAGAGTAAAGGGGCCCTTATCATCTGGTACTGCCAAGTACCTTTCTCAGTCTTGTCTCCTCACCTGTGATCAGTTCTTTGAAGGTCAGGTTGACTTGCCCCTCACTCACCTGCCCGTCCAGCCCCTGGGCATCGGGAAGGACTTTGCCTGTAGCCCACAGTCAGTCGGTGCCCGTTGCCTATTTCCTGCTGCTTCTCCCGGCAGGTGCTCGGTCATTCCTACGCCGGACGGGAAGGCAGCAGGCTGGTCCCGATCCAGCGGCCAGTGAGCCGGGTGCCGCCCACCAGCTGCCCGCCCTCCCACGCGGCCTTTTTCCAGCTAAAAAGGAAGCCCTTGATTCTCCCTTCTTGGTGCAATCCTTCCCCTGGACTTCTTGTAAAAATTCAGACAATGCATAGAAATTGTTAAAACCTCAAACCCTTATCAGAGTTACAAGGCTTTGCCTGACCTGACACTTTCCTTCCCTCCTTCCTCCTTCCTTCCTCCTTTTCCTGCTTCTATTTTTAAGTTGTCGTAAAATATACATAATGATTTACAATTTTAACTATTTCAAAGTGTATAGGTCAGCCCTGGCCAGGTAGGTCGGTTGGTAAGAGCGTTGGCCCTGATGCGCCAAAGCTGCGGGTTCGATCCCCTGTCAGGGCACATATAAGAAGCAAGCAATGAATGCATCAAAAAGTGGAAGAACAAATCGATGTTTCTCTTTCTCTAAAAAAAATTAAATAGATAAAATTTTTAAAAAATAATAAAAGTGTACAGTTCAGTGTTATTAAGTACATTCACATCATTGTGCAATCATCTCCACCATCTTTCCTTCCCTTTTTTATCCTCCTTTCATTTACAAAGAGAGCTTCAATGATATACTGACTATTTTGGTAAGAAACGGCTAATACTGTGAGTATATGTAAAAATAAAGAAGCATATTATGCAGTTCTAAACTTTAAAAATAGGAAATAAACATGTAAACGATTTTTAAAAAGTGATGTATTATTGTCACCATCAACGTGAACAAGAGTTTACCACCTTCACAGCAGCATTATTCACTAGAGCCAAAAGGTAGAAACCACCCAAATATCCATCAGCAAGTGAATGGAAGAACTCATGTGCTATATACATCCCATGAATCATTATTCAGTCTTCGAAAGCAAGGACGTTCAGACAGAGGCTCCAATAGGCATGAACCTTGAAGACATTATGCTAAGTGAAATTGACTAGATGTATAGGGACATTCACATCATTGTGCAATCACAATGAACCTTGTGACAAATGATATGATTCTACCCTTTCGAAGTACCTATAGTAGTCCAATTTGCAGTGACAAAAAATAGAACGGTGGTTGCCCGTGTCTCCATGGAGGGGGGATCTCAGGACGTTATTCACTCATTGGTGCAGAGTTTGTTTGGGGTTGTTACGGACTGAATGCTTGTGTCCCCCTGAGCTCATGTGTCAGGCCCTCACCAACCCCCAGCGTGATGGTATGTGGAGGTAGAACTTTGGGGACATGATTACGTTTGGACTGGACCAGGAGAGGGGGACCCTCATGATGAGATTAGTGCCCTTATAAGAGGAGGGAGAGAGAGAGTCCTCTCCATACACCAAGCAGAGGCCGTGGGACCGCACAAGGACAAGGTGGCTGCCTACAAACCAAGAAGTGGACCCTTCACCTGGGACCGAATGTGCTGGCACCTTGACCTTGGACTTCCCAGCCTTCAGAACTGGGAGAAATAAACATCTGGTCTGTAAGCCACTTGGTCTGTGTTGTTCTAGTAGCCCAAGTTAACTAAGATAGAGACGGAGAAAAAAGTCTATAGCTGGATGGTCCGCGCAGCAATGTGAAGGTGCTTAATGCCACTGAGGGATAGACCTGAACGTGGCTAAAAAGGTAAATCCTACGTTATATGTATATTTGCCACAATTAAAAAGCAGTGTTTAATTCAGCAGTACACTTACTAAAATTAGAACACAGAGAATATTAGCTTGGCCCCTGCACAAGGATGACCTGCAAATTTGTGAAGCCTTCCATAGAAAGAAAGAAAGAAAGAGAGAGAGAGAGAGAGAGAGAGAGAGAGAGAGAGAGAGAGAGAGAAAGAAAGAAAGAAAGAAAAAGAAAAGAACAACAGCAACAACAAAACCCCCTTCTTTGAAATTTTCCACAGCCCCATCTCAATCTCTTCCTCCTAACTCCCCGGAAGTAACTTTGGCCCTCAGTTTTGGATTTATTCCTTTACTGTTTGTTGCTTTTCTATATAGTATACTGTTCCCTTTGACCTATTTTTGAACTTTATATAAATAAACTTTCCGGGATGCCTACTTCTGCAACTCATCATTCATGGCAACATTTTTGGATGAGCCATCCGTGTGGCTGTATATCCTTTTTCAGGGCTGTATAGTTTTCCTCCTATGATGTCCATATCCCAGGCCTCTTCAGATCCGTTTAGCCTCCCCTTCTTAGATGATCTCTTGGCCACTTGTTCCATCCTGACTGCTGCTATGGGGACCAGTCCTGTGTGGGCCCTGACCTGCTGGCCTCCCTCTGGGGATGCTGCATGCTTAGGGGCTCACACATGGATGTGCTGATGTCGTGTGGACTGTACGCTCCATGGGGCAAACCTGTGACAAAGAGCTGGTAGGAAACTGTTTTCCCTTCTCCCACACTCTCCGGAACTACCCTAAGTGCAGTTGTACATATGGCCTCTCCTCGGTACACTCGTATCGACTCTCCTGCTAGCCCCACCTCAGTCCCCCCGTTCCTCACTCTTGCTTCCCCGACAGAGGGACACTGTGCCAACTTCTGATTCCCACTCTGCTTTCTGAGGAACCCAAGACAGACATAGACTGCGGTCTGTCCACTCTCCTGTGGAGGGACACTGGAGTCGTGCCCAGCGTTTTGAGATTGCGTACAGTGCGGCTGGGCCTCACATGCTTGTTCGTGTTTCCGGGTGCTCTTGTTTCCATTTCTGCAGAACGTTTCTAGCTGTGGAGCTGCTGGCTTCTGGGGTGTGTGTGCACCCCGTCAGCTGCACCAGATATTGCCTGATTAATTCCCAAAATGCCTGCTTATTGTCCCAGCTTATGTCACCCCATCCCCTGGCTTCAGCTCACTCTGTTTGTTGGGTCCTCCGGGTCTTCTTTGAGTTCCTTTGGCACACGTGCCCCTCCCCCATCATGAGGCTCCTGAATCTGCCATTTTTTCTACTGAGAACACTTGGCTCACACTCAGCCTAGCTGAGACCCCCTCTTTCCAAGGAGACCAGTTCAGTGCCTTACTTCCCAGGTAAGCTCCCCAACTTCCTCCTCAGCCCCAGACCAAGACAACCGCCTCATCCCCCGGCCCTTTTATACAGCTCACGGCCTCCCTTCCTGTTGTGATGGACCAATCAGTTGCAATGCTTCAGCCACCTGTGCAACTGTTGGAACAAGGTCTGCTGGCTCCACTAAGCTTCACTAGCCTAAAAGTAGTGACCTCCACGCTTTCTTAAGTTCACTGCCATATTCCAGCTCCTAGCACTGTGCCTGGCACGCAGTAGGCAGCTGATGTTATTATTCTAATCGCTATTCTATGTCCTCACTCACATGCGAGTGCAGTGTATAACTTTTCCTGCACGTGTTCACATTAATTAGCATCTACTGGGAGTCAGGATCATGACAATGTAAATAAACACGATGTCTTTCCTTGAGGAGCTCACAGATAAAGGTCAACAAACATTATTGAGCGACTGGACCCTGACGTGTTTTAAGTGCTTAGCAACTGTTGAATTGACTCAGAAGCCACCTCTAGTCTGAACATCGCTGTAACGACCAATGATGGCTGTTGTTTACTGAGCATTTATCATGTGCCTGGCACTCCTCTGAGAGCTTTGCATTTGCCATCTCCTCCTGTCCTGCCTCCAACCAGGGAGGTGCTATTAGTGCCTCCATTTTACAAATTAGCAAACAGAGCCTCAGGAACGTGAGGTTACTTGTTCCATGTGACACAACCGGGAAAGGGTGCAGACAGGGTTTCTCAGCCAGAGCTCCTAACCTCCAATTGCAATGCAAATTTTCTCCTGCCCCAATTCCACCGCTTTCAGATTCCAGAGGCTGAGTCCCTAATCTCAGTGGTAAATCATGGTATCTACCATTATGGGGCACTTACCCAGTACTAGTTGCTTTGCATCCATCCATTCATGTTTTTCAACAACTATCTACTGAGAACCTACCACGTGCCAAGCTGTGTGTGAGGGGCCGGGGATATAGTGGTGAACAAAACAGAATAAAACACCTGTTTCGAGGAGTTGGTATCCTAGTGTGAGGAGAAAACAAATAAAACACATGACAGTGTCCGTGCTGCGGAGCAAACGAAAGCGGGAAGGGAGCTCTGGAGGGGCGGCCGGGGTGGCCGCGCTCTCGGTTCATCCCACGGACCGTCTTCTCTTCTCCCCATGAAAACGGGGCGTAGGGAGGCACAGCGGCCTCCTCAGGGCCCCCAGGCTGAGGAGCCAGGGCTCTGGAAGGCCTGGGGACCCCATCCTGCCAATCCCTCTTTGCTGTGTGCCTGCCGAGTGCTTAGAATCGTGGTGGAGACACAAAGAACAGGAGACGCTTTCCCAAGGGGGTAAGATCTGGAAGGCCGGGAAGTCCCCCGAGTGAGTGGCGGGCACACACGGCTGTGTGGCAGTCAGTGTCCGCGCTCTGCCCAGGGCAGACATTAAGCGTCTGTGGGAGATTTTGAAGCTGGAGTCCAAGCTCAGACAGATTGATACCAGAGATCGAGAGCAGAAGACTAAGACACCCATGCCCTAGGGCTGTCGGTGATTCACCCGCCACTAGATCCTGCCCAAAGCCCAGCAGCCAGCTTGGAGCCCCGCCCCTTTCTGCGCTAGGTCTCCAGCCCTCCAGGCCATCAAGTGGCGAGAAAGTGGCTAGTGACCAAGCGATAAGGAATGGCCTGCCCCGGGAAGCCACGCACATGCAAATAGTGGCCCCCTTTCCCCCGACAGGGCGTCAACTTCTTGAGAGGCCTCCCAGATAAGGGGGTCTGGAGCGCAGAGAGCTGCTCCCAGGTGGCCCCAGGACTCAGTTTCTGTCCAGCAGGTCGCCTCAGCCAGGGATGTGGTCTGGAACCTAGAGGAGGAGAGCCCGGGCTTTGAGCGCGGGAGGTGTAGGGTGCCACCTCCCCCGGGCAGCTCACCTCGCTGGTTGCGTCTGGAGAGGGCCTCTTGGAACCTTTGCATGTTCTTTAAAGAGGTACGGTTTGTTTAGTTGACCAAGCTGAAAAGAGATGTATTTTGGAGTTTGAGGAATTCACTCATTCAACAAGTGTTCATTGAGCCGATTTTATGAGCCAGGCCCCAGGGGCTGAGGGTAGGTGGTTAACAAGACCAAGGTCAGGGCAGAAGCCTGCTCTCCGCCACAGTTAGGTGCCGAGGGATGCGGAGCGGGTTTCCCATAAAGACTGCTCTGTGCATGAATCTAGGAGGCACTCAGTAAATAATTGGTGAGTTAATGTCATTTTAAAGAGAGATCAAAAGCCACCGAGTCCATCTGCAAAGGGCGAATGGCTCACTGGGAAGAGAGAGTCTCAGCATTGTTATTCCCAGATTTCTGGAAGGGTGAGGAATTTTGGGACTAGGAGAAGCGTGATAGCGCTGGACTTCCACTAGGCACATACCTTAGAGTAGGCGCTGGCAGCGCACTAGGTAGGAGATACTTCAATGAATGAGGCAGGTGGGGTCCCTGTCCTCGAAGGGCTCAGTCTGGTGTAAGCAAAGGCAGCAGTGAGGTAGTGTGATGTGCATTATGATTGGGCAGGAAAGAGAAGATACCTAAGCAGGCTGGCAGGAGAAAGTGCTCAGGACAGAGGGATCAGCATGTGCAAAGGCCTGGGGGAGAGAGAGCGGGTTTATTAAAAAAAAAAAAACTCAGAGTAGTTCATCGAGCATGTGCAAAACCTTGCCCGAGACCCACTGGGGAAAGGCTGTTGGAGAGAAAAGTTGGGCTGTCGGCCAGTCCAGGGGAGGCCTCCCTTCAGGGAAAACCCAGTTCCTCACTGCATAGCTGGTGAGGGTCATGAAGCCCAGGGGGTCGACTTCATCTTTGTGAGGATGCATCATGTATAGCGACCACCGTGTTACAGAACATTGGCTCAGTCAGTCCTCATGCAACTCTTACACGTCCGATACTATGAGTCCCATTTTACAGGTGGGACAGCGGAGCCTCTCTGGGCGCCTGATCCAAGGTCAGGTAGCTCCCGCTGCTTGGGAGTTTAAGTGTTCCTTTATGTAAATGCTTCCATTCTAGCAGTTCCTTTTACATGAGGTAATGCGTGTAAAAGCTTTTTTGTAATAGAGCCATGTAAACATGAAGGCGTTACTAGTTTTCAGTCTACAGCATTTGGGGAGCCCAGGAAGGGGCAAGAATGAAAGCCCAAAGGTCCAAGGGCCTCTCCTAGAATTCCCCCACTGTCCATCCTGGTTCCCTCTCCAGCCACCTCCATATATTATCTCCTGCCAAGTAAACTTTGTTTCTCAGAAGTTGCAAGATGTGGGAGGTTAAAAACAAACAAACAAACAAAAAAACCCCAGCACCAATAACTATGAAAACTCCTGCAGTAGCCTGAACACAAAGAGTCTGAATTTTGAACAAAGGGCAGGGTGAGACCTGAAAGTAAATGCTGACACATCCTCTCTCCAGCTGTGAACCCGGGGTCTGAGAGCTGCCGCAAAGCTCCTCTGTCTCCACCGCTTTGGGCAGGAAATGCAATTCAATCCTCCCGTTGACGGATGGCTCTGCAAGATTAATGGGATCTCCCCAACCCCGCACTCTGTTCTGACAGCAGAAAAAGTGAATCAAACTTCTCTGCTCTCCTCTTACTAACAAGGTCAGCTGATTCCTCATTTTAAAAGTTCAAAATTCTTCTCCCGGAAATGCCCCCCCCCCCGGGTGTCGCTTTGCAAGACGAAACTCTGCCCTTTGGGGTGAGGTCCCAAGGTGGCTCCTGAAGGTCTGGGGACCTTTCTAGGCTTTTCATCCGTCCCTACTTCATCTTTC